GTTTGTTGATGAATCATATATATCCTGAATAACGTAACTATTCTCTTTACATTTTACTTTAGGATTTAAGGATACACGAGATAAAAGATTAAGATATCACAAAACTTGGAAAATGCATGTGATTTTCTCAAAACCTAATATCCCTTTATAACCATTTTCCATTTATATGAAAAGTTAACATAATTATAACAATTAAATCCATTATAAATTGTACATCTCTCTTCATAACAACATCACCCTTCTCAACGACATTAGCCTAAAAAAATAGAGAATTAAAGAGTGAAAAAGAGTTTTCCAAAATAATTTCATGGACTCTTCAATGGAGATTTTCAACCAAAAACCTGTTCATATTTTAATGTTTCCATGGTTAGGACATGGACACATTTCTCCATTTCTTGAGTCAGCCAAAAAGCTCATCACAAAAAACTTCACTATTTTCTTATGCTCAACTCCTGCAAATTTCATTTCAATCAAACAAAAGCTTATTAACGAAAACTTAACTGAGAAAATTCATCTCGTTGAACTTCGACTTCCATCTTTTCCCGATCGATCTTCCTCCTCATTACCACACCACCAATGGCCTCCCACCCCATCTCATGTCCACACTCAAGAAAGTATGTCCAATTTTCAGCCAAATTCTCAATAACGTAGAACCGGATTTACTTCTTTACGATTTGCTTCAGCCTTGGGCACCAAAGCTAGCATTGGAAAAAAATATTCCAGCTGTTGTATTTGTCACAAGCAGTGCAACCATGTTTTCCTACATGTTTCATACTTTCAGGTACCCTAATATGGAATTTCCCTTTTCCTCTATTTATTATCGTGACTATGAGTTGACACGTATGCTCAAAAATCAAGATTTGGAGCCTATTGAGCAACAACAAAAAGATAAAACTAGTGTTAAGTTGTGTTTTAAGAGATCTTTTGACATTGTTTTGATCAAGGGTTTTAAGGAAATTAATGGTAAATATTGTGATTATATATCTAGTTTAACTAAGAAGAAAATCATCCCCGTTGGTCCACTTGTTCAAGAACCAACAAGTGAAGATGGAAACTCGCAAATTTTAACATGGTTGAATCAGAAAGAAAAAGGGTCAACTGTTTTTGTTTCTTTTGGAAGTGAATATTTCCTATCTCAAGAGGATAGGGAAGAGATTGCTCATAGGCTAGAGCAAAGTAGGGTTAATTTCATATGGGTTTTGAGGTTTCCAAAAGGTGAAAAACTCAAATTAAACTTGAACAAGCATTACCACAAGGGTTTTTCAAGAAAGTAGGGGAAAGGGGAATGGTAGTTGAAGATTGGGCACCAAAAGCAAAAATATTAGGAAACCCTAATATCGGAGGATTCGTGAGTTACTGTAGATGGAATTCTGTTATGGAAAGTATGAAACTCGGCGTTCCAATAATTGCTATGCCCCTGCATCTTGATCAACCATTAAATATTAGGCTTGTGGAAGAAGTAGGGGTTGGTTTGGAAGTTGTTAGAGACAAAGATGGTAAACTTGATAGAGAAAAAATAGCTCAAGTTATCAATTTTGTTGTTTTGGACCAAAGGGGAGAATCCATTAGGGCAAAAGCAAGGAAAATGAGTGAAACAATAAGAGTCAAAGGAGATGAAGAGATTGATGAAGTTGTTGAAGAATTGTTGAAACTTTGCAAGAGATCAAATGTGGTCTAGTTTCTATATATAATCATGGTTTTTAATGTTTTGTGTTCTTTCTAATTAACTTTGTTTTTTAGGGTTTAATATCATGTTTAGTGAACTCAGCATGTATTGATGGAGTACTAATTTTTTTGTACTCCTTAGGTCTTTCTTTGTGATATAGTTATCATTAATTGTGAGTGATTGATGATGTAACTAGTATGTCATAATAATATTTAGTTACCATTTTTTCATCCGATAATATCTAATTACCTAAGGAAAAGGTATTTGCAAAAGATTGTAGTCAAATCCTTTCCTTATTTGTTTCAAAGCAATAACTGTAAAATAGAATCTATGGCTTACCTTACTAAAACGCTTATAATTAATTCCCATTATACGCTTCAGTTTTTGCATAGATTGTAGTTAGATACTCAGCTAATAATTTCCATTAATTATCAGACCTTACATTATATAACTCTTTTCTTTTTTTTTCTTGATTTCCAACTGATGCATTGAGTGAAAGATCAAATGAAGAGTTTGTCGATTAAAATAAAACATTAAAATATAACAAACTAAAAGGCCATGGCCCTTGGCTTCTTGGGATCTTTGTTATTTGATGGCTGTGGTAATCGTAATAAACACTGTGCCTAAGTCAAGTTTTGCACTTGAAAAAATAATTTTTAAAGTTGTAAAATAAATAATTTTAGAAGTTGAAGTTGTATTTGGGCATCAATTTATTTGAAAAAGACTTGAAGTTTTGCGTGGAAGAATTTTAATTTCATCTAAAAACTGTCATAAACTAGTTTTTTGGGAACCTGAAAAGAATTCAATTTTTTTTCCAAAAACTAATCATATTACAAACAGTGTTTTCAAAAAGAAATTGAAAAAATATGCCCAAAATATATGGTCAAACGGGTGCTAGCGTATTACGCTTATCTTATACAGTCAGATCACTTTATAATAACATCCCTATATAACAACACTTCTATATAAAAGCCAAACTTTTTCGGAACAATTTTTTATGTTATATTATAATATACGTTCTTTGTAACAGCACTTCGCTATGATATCCAAAAATACTCGGAACAAACGAAACTTTTATAAAGAGGTTTGACTGTACAAAATTTGGAACTTGGAATTAGTTTTTATGAGGATTCTCGAAGATTGACATCTTAATTATTGTCGTATGACAAAATCAAGGAAAATGAAATATTATAAAAAGGGTTTAAAAAGAGAGAAAGGACAAAAAGAAGTTAGTCTACCTAATATAACGCATACGTTTAAATTGTGGATAGAATCGCACAGTATTTTATTTCCAATCTAACATAATTTTAGCATTTACCGTTACCTTCACCGGTTATGTACTAGCTTCTGAGCGTAACGAATCGAAGCCGAAGACGGATCAAGGTAGCTTGCCTGCCAAGCCGATAGGCGAAGGGCTGAAGGATGGAAGGTGCAAAGTAGATCGTGCACCTGTCGTGTGACCCGTTGGTCCTAAGCAATGTCTTGCGCGAAGCGACCCACTTAGAAAAAGCACTTCTTTAGGGGTTATTACTTCTTTGGTAGCTCAACACATGTACTCTTTACCTAGCATCAGAGAAAGCTAGTTCGGGGTCGGTGAACAAAAGAAGGCTAGATCTTCAGTAGAGAAAGAGATACAAAGGTTGGGGAAGGTTTTTTACTAATAAACCGATGAAACCTTTACGATTTCAATACCAAATCTGCATAACCTACAAACATAATTAAAGTAAATCTACATTAATTAATCATATATAAAAGCTGATTTTGGTCAATTGATTTCCAATTATACATGTCTAGGAATATGGAGAAATTCATAGTAGTATTCTCCTTTTTAATGGGTTTTAATTAGAATTCGAAAATTCGAATGGATGGAATCAGTGATTACCATATATCGAATGAATATTATGTGCGTGTTGACTATGCACTTCCTCTTCCACCTCATCAATTAAAAAGTAAGCAAGATTAGCATAATTTAAAAAATATAATAGGTTCAATGCTAAAATTTTAAAGTTTAAATCCTGAATTCGGCTCTGAACCGCACCAAGTTAAAAAGTAAGCAAGATTAAAATAACTAAATTCATGTTGTCTCACGTGATAATACTAAGTCCAAGCTAAAGAGATGGAGACATCCTATCTCTAAGAAGGTTAAACGTGGACTCCAAGAAAGAAATAGAAATTCATCTAAGTTCACGTATTTAACTAACTAACTAGCGTTTCAAAAAATCTCCGTCTTTCTTTAGGAAATCTTCAAACATAATCACTACCTAATTGTGATTAGAAGGATGTGTCTCCCTACTAAAACATAGAAAACTAACTAAAAGGAAGAAAAAAACATCATTTACAAGGCACTCATGCATTAATTAGTAAATTTTAGGCCTTATCAGTAACTTATTCTAATCATAATTTTTTGTTTTCTTGATAATGTAGCAATTAATATCATCCACAATCGTGTGCTGATGTTTCCCTCATTTTATTTTACGTCGATTAATTTTTTCCCTCAAAATAATATTAATATTTCAGCTAATTGCTAGCTTAAAAAATAAAATTACACAGACTATTGAATCTCTTTTCACAATCTAGAACAAATATTTTGCTCTCATCGAATAGAATTTCTCTTCTATTCATTAATACTGTAAAATTACTTTTTATTATTATCTAAGACACTTAAAATGCAAATACAAGTAGCTTCCATAATTTATTGGAAGGGTTTAACTTATATACATCAACAATGTAAAATTATCCTATATAATTAGATCACATTTACATGTTGTAGTAGTTAACATGCTTTAATTTCAAGATTAAAATCCCTTTTTCTGTAAGAAGAGTTACTTGTAGATATTTTTTGAATAAGAGATTGACCGACCTAATATACAAATTTAGGATTCCTCCTAATCTAATAATTTTGGTTCAAATCCTGTAAATATGCTAAAAATAGACTAAATAAGTACAAATAATGAATTTTGAACTCAGTAAATCAAATGAGCAGTGGTAGAATTTCGAACTTGGACTCATAAAATTTAAATTCTGGATCCACCTATGTTTTAGATGACCAGATCCGTATTTTTTTTATATATATTTTTACATTGTTGGTTTAGGTTTATACAATTTAAACTCATAGACTACATATAAAACTCACGTTGTTTTATTCGTCAACGTGAAAACCTGACCCTTCTTTCTCTCGAACAAACAGAGAAGAAAAAAGGAAAAAGAAAAGAAGTTACTCTGCTCAATGTATATACGTAGAGAGATGGAGAAAGTGTAGGAGACGCAAACGTGTGATAAACGTTATATAAATGTATGTATCTTTAAAGTCACCAATTTCCTTTTCAAGCTTAACTTTGCTTTTTTTCAAGAAACAGAGAGAAGTCATATATATAAAGAGATTATCAGTTGCTTTCAGAGCTTGTATTAATATTACTCTCCTTCTTTCAACAATATGCATCTAATGAGAAAATTGTTCTGGTCCAAGTTGAAATCGACTCTCAGAAAGCAACGTGAGTAATTCCATATATATATATCTTCCTCTCAATAATTTTTCTTCTTTTTTCTACTTGAAATTTACGTCATATATATCTTTGTTGTTATATTCAATCTTTTTAGTTCTAAGAATTTTATAGTTTCATGGATACTTCAACTCGTAAAGCTTATGAATTTCATTGTTTCTAGTTCATTGGTATTTCAATTCGCAAAAATTTTATACTGTTAGTGTATAGAAATTAAACTCGTTTGCTAAAATGTTGATTTGATTTTACTGTCGGCTATATTTTTTCAGGTAGAAATGGGAAAGACGGTTCAGGTAGCTTGGTGAACAAGTCAAATGTGAATGAAGAGTATGTTGAAGCCTTAAGAACTAATTCTTACGTAGAAATGTACAATAAAGTTCAAGAACAGTTAGAAAGTGGAAAATTAGGTCATAATCATAAATTATTCTCATCTTCTTCTTCTCTTCAACTTGATATCAATCTCTCTAAAAGCTTACTTGAACCTTGTCAAGAAGTGTTGGTTGAAATTCCTGAATCATGTCAACTTCATCCCCTTATTGTTAACTACTTTGATATTACCTCAGAAGCATGCAGAATTTGTGAGTTACTACTTCAAAGTGTCCAAAAAACCCGAGCTAATTATAGGAAAATTAGAAAGGTTATTAGACTAATGAAAAATATGGAGCCAGATTCAAGCTATTGTTATGATGTATATAGAGAACTTGCTTCATTTGCTTCTTACAAGAACCCCTTTTCAGTATTTAACAGAGTACAGTTTCTAGACACACGCGAAGGGCACGATGTTTTGCTTAAGAAACTAACATCACAATTCAGAAGAGTTAAAAGGAGGATGAAATTCTTGAGATCTTGTAAGAAGGTATTTGGGATTAGTATCGCGATAGGGTATACTGGAATACTAATAGCTTTGTTGGTCTTAGTTCTTCACAGTATGGTTTGTATTGTAGCTGCACCTGGATTGGCATTTTGCTCATTTAAGCTGTTCAAGAAAAGATTCAAAGTGGATAAAAAGGCAATAAGTTCAAGTTCACTTGAAATGTTAATAGCACAACTTGATGTAGCAGCAAAAGGGGTGTACATATTGATTAATGACTTTGATACGATGAGTCGGCTTGTGAGGAGATTATATGATGAAACTGAGCATGATAGATCTGTAGCTGATATGTGTGCAAAAAAGAAAAATGCTGATATGTTGAAGGAAGTGATAAGGGATTTCAGTATTAACAAACATTGTTTTATGGAACAGTTGAAAGAACTTGAAGAGCATGTTTGCTTGTGTTTCCTCACTATAAACAGATCAAGAAGGATGGTTTTACAAGAAATGGTCAGCAGATGAGTTATTGCAATTTATTGAATGAAAATGACTACACAGACTGAGATCATAAATTTGATTCTCCAGTTTTGTTTGGCAATTTTTTGGTGTTTGTATCTTCAATAATGGATTTTCTCCACTTTGTGTTTCTAGTTAACTTTGCAAGTTCAGATTCTTCTCATTTTCCTAGTTCCAGCAATACTATCATCTAGACATGTTACACTAATATATTAACAATTCATATATGTTATTTAATCATATCTGAACAGAAATTATGGACCGATGGGGCAAGTAAAACTCCATGCCATCCAAATAATACACCAGAAAAGAGTAATGAAAATGTTAATTAAGTTAAACTAAGAGAAATTGTAAACCTTGAAATGAGGACATTGTGCCCAAAGAATGCATTTGTCTCCAACTTTGAAGATGTTCTTCTGTATGCCAAAAGCAGAAGTTTAGCTTTGAAGACCTTTCTCTTGCAGAAAGTGAATCATCGCAGGAACTGCATCAATCAGCAAACTTTTATCAACTGTCTAAACTTCAAATCATGCAAATGCTGCCTTCAATGAGCTGATCTGCAACCTTGCGCATTTATCACAAGTTCACAACATATCCTTTCTCAACTCTCTGTATTCGTCAGCGCCAAGCAAAGTAGCCTTGACCTTGACCCAATCTGCGGGCTTTGGCATTATAATTGCAATGTATCCTTCCCTGTCTGCCTGTGATTGAAGTTACAGACGAGGAAACAATATTCAACCAGATGTGTTATTGTAACTATAATACGAGGAGGAAGATGTCAAGAAAGCAAAATCTCATAAATTGGCACAATCAACTGAAACGCAACTTACTGTCACTTGGAACACATTAACTATTGAAACAAAAAGACAAAACAAGACTTCTCTTTTATCATGAAGATCATGCATATCTTATTCAGTTCCTTTTGTCGACATCAACCAAACCTAGGTGCGAATTAAGGATGAGATATTTCATGCTTAAAGCGCGCTTAAGCCCTGAAGCGAGGCTCAAAACATGTTGAGCGCTTCGCCTCACTTTGTGTGCGCTTTAGTGTCGCATCAAGGCTCTAAGGTATACTTTTCCTTGCCAATGAGTGCGATCTTGAAAAAGGTGACATGAAACAATATATATTTCACTTTCTCGTAAATTGTTTCCAATTTCTTTGTCCATATATTTGTTATTCATGCTTATAATTATTAGTCTTGGACTACGTATACATATTTTTACTTTTTCTCCAGTTGCGCCTTTTTTCATTAAAGCGCTTAAAGCCTCAACGGACCTTAGAGCTTTTTTGTGCTTTTCGCCTTTGATAACATTCTTATCACCCTTCAAGTTGCATAGTCAAACATTTAGTTGTATTCTGACAATTCAGCCTACAAACTTTATTTGGTTTAAATTCAATAAATGTGATGGTTCCAAGATCTTTATCATCATGAATATAAACAATTGCCACAGCATTGTGATCATGAGCTGCCAAATTCTATACATTCACAAAGCCTTCTTAATTAGTGTCAGGACTATTCTCATTTTTTGTTGAGAACAGCGTTATGGAGATCACAAACAAGCCAATTGATATGTCTCTTCAGAGAGCTCATAAATAACTAATTAAAAGCTTTCAAGTAGATAACCAGTTCTGAACTAACAAAATAAGTAATATGGACAAAGCAGTAAGAGTGTAAGACCAGAGTAGCTAACGGTAACACATAAAGATAACTCGAGAAAGCAATAGAATCTGGGAGACCATAGATAGCAAGAAGTAGAAAAAGAAGTTGAGTATATCATTTGAGCAAAGGACCAAGGAATTGATTGTTACTTCTCATGATCAAACAAATTGTCAGACCATGAGCTCCCTCTTTCACAGCACATATATGCAAGTGTGCCTCACTGTATTCTCGTGTCGGTTTTCAAACATTTAAAGTTTGAGTTAAAAAGATGAACCTCTATGTTCAATTCAGCTAACGCAAATAAACCTTCAATAAGCAAAAAATGCCAAGAAGGTTGGAAGGAGGGAGTAATTCAAAAATGGACACACAATTTTGACGACTTAAAACAGAACTATGTTATCAAATGGATATCTAAGTGAAACATGGGAAAGTGATTAAGGTTAGGCTGGATATCTTAACAAAACAGCTACTGATAAGCGATATTGACGTATATGACATGTAGAAAACCAAATCAACTTCATGAGAATGAACAGTTAAAAATTCATAAGCTTTGCTAATACAAATGATGCTAATTGCAATGAATTCTTGCATCAGTTACCACAAAATAAAAGCAAAAATGAAGAGGACATGCACTCACGGTAAGAAATCCGAGGTAACATAAAATATAAATTAGCACAAGGCCACAAGCTAAATGTTTTTACCGATGAGTTCAGCAGTTCTGGTTGCTTAATTAACCGATCATTGACTTCTAACAGAGAGCCTTTCACACAACACCTGCAAAACATGAGTAAAACTATCTTTTTACAGATTTCAAAAACAACTCTGTCAGAGAAAGGACTGTAAGAAGATATATCCCCTACCTCACAATATATGAAGCATCATTTGTGCAGACTTTACATAATGCAGTATTAGACTCAAAATGTTGCGCATTCTGCATAGGAACAAAGTGGCAACCTCATTTCATTAAACTGGAACCACAAAGCACAAAAGCGATAACAGATTAGCTTTAACTGCATAGTTCATATATTTTGTGCTTATGTGCCAGATGACGGTACAAGCATGATGACTTATGTTCGCTAAGTAGCTAATATAATATACTGTCACAATGACTGAAGCATGTACACACAGAGCTATGAAATCTAAGAACAAAACCTTGTGTGGTCATATATTCCAATCACTTGTGGTGCTGAAGTTAAAAGGTAAAACTAATGTGGTGATCCACAAACAAAATTTACTGCAGACTAGGCAATTCCATATGAGAAATAGTTTTTTTTGTATGCTAAGGTTCTAAAAACTAGTCCATAGTCAAGTTCCCAAATAGGCAACAAAATAATATTATTATAGCTATGAAACTTAACAATAATATCAAAGCCTTTTATTTCAAGACTAGAAATTTGAGGAATATTTCACCAGGAGCTATCCAATCCAATACTTGTTAAACTTAAGCAACGAAGCATTTTCAACTTGCTAGCTTTTCTTTATCCAAGAAAGAATTATGTTAGTTCAAATATATTATGAGGACATATTTACAAGAGAAAAGCACTTAACATATTTAAAACTTAAGACAAGTAATGACCTAGAATCACAATAAATCAATTCCGCTAATCATTAAAGTTATTAGAGTCAACTTTTATCCAACAACACTTTTAGACACTCATCTTGCAGCAGTCTTAAGCACAACTAATAGCTTATGAAACTGCAATTACTTGCAAGAATAAAATATGCTACCTTAATAGAAAGGTGCAATCTTTTTCTTTTATTTACCTTAAGTTCACCAGAAAGATCCAACCTTTACTCTTATTCAAAATGACTCTAATTTTCCTTGTTTTTAGTTAAGAAAGAAAAAATTAGATTCAACACAAGAGCTCAATGCAGTACCTTTTTTCGCTTTCCAGTAACTTTGATTCCACTCCGATCAGACTTCCCTACATTGAAATCAACTGAACTAATTCCCCCTTCATCTTTAAAAGCCACATGAGTCGTAGCCAGCCCAATTATACATAACCTTTCAATCACCAAATTCCAATTTCAGCAAACAAAAAATATGCCAATTAAAGGACAGGAAAATATAGTAGTACAAAGAAACTACGTTTTAGTACCCATTAGCATGCCGATGTACATACTGATCATGTCCAGGTTTCATAAAATCTGCAACAACAATTTAAAAATAGAATACAACTTCAAACTTTACTTCAAAAAAAAAAAAACTTTAAACTTGGTATTCGAAAATAAAAGGAAAAATAGGCATTACCAGGAGCAAAATAAGTGACGAAGTTGGATTCAACAGCAGAAGGAGGAGAGAGAGGGAGGTCTTCTATTTTTGGCACCAAAAGTTTCCTTAATTCTTCATCTTCTATTTCTTCAGTTACTGGTTCTGATCTTTCAGTTATGTCCGAATGAGAACAAGGAAGTATCGTCGGTTTTACGTTTGAGGTTTCGACACTGTTGGTTTCGTCGGCGTTTGGCTCAGGCATTGAAAAGTAGAACGAAGAACAACTCTGACAAACTGAAGTGCAATGGGAGTTAGAGTTGAAAGTTGTTTACTTTGGGGTTTTAGAGAGTTAGGAGAAGAGATGGGTTACTTGGCCCAATAGGCCCAACTATAGACATTTCAGTTTGGGGTATTATCACTTTTAGCCCGTGCTAGAAACTATTTACATTTGGTAGCCGAAAAAANCTATACTATATTAGAAACTTATTTACCTATGTTCTCTGTGTTTTGTAGTTTTTAATAAGTATCTAGATTTTTCTTATAAATTGTATATATTGCTTCTTAAAAGGCTTTCACCCCATTATTAGTGCCTTCAATTAAGGGATTCAATTACAACATTTCCTCTCTTTTTCCCCTCTCATCTTTTCTCTCCTTTTTTTTTACATCAAAATCCCTTAATCTATGCCTATAATCTCCATCTTCTCTCTTCCCACAATTGCCGATAACTTTATATTATTAAAAAATATTCAGAAATTATATGATAATTGTATCATAATTGTATCAGATACATCGAAGCCTAAAACATAAATGTATCATACTTGTATCACAATTGTATCTAACTTGTATCTGGTACATTAATACCCAAAATAATACCTGATAGAATACTAGTAAATTAATATATAACTATCATGTTTGTGATACACATTGTGAAATTCGTTACGAACTCACAACTACTCGTAACAATATACAATGAATATACAATTATCATACAATTGTAATACAATTTCTGCAACAATTATGATACATATATAGTTATAATACAATCACGATACATATCTGAAAACTTATGATACAATTATGATCTTCATCTTATTCAAGTTTCATTCACAACTCTATACTAAAAATTTAATAGAATCATAGTATAATTGTATTATACTGGGTATGTTGTTGTTGTTGTATTATAATTATATTAATATTATATCGTGTATTGTTTTAAATATTTATGTATCATATACAAGTCAAATACAATAGATATTTTAGAAAAAAAGAAAATAAGATTCAAAATTTACCCACAACTTGATTCTAGAGCAATATTTCGAATTTCGTTTATATTGTATCAATAAGAAATAGATATTTTGGGTTATTAGTAAGAAAGAGAGAAATTAAATTTCAAAAGTTTTGGAAGAGAAAAAGAATTTACAACTTTGGGGGGATAACAACGGGTAGGCGAGATTTTGGGTAAGCAAGATTTTGGATAACAGTGGGTAAGCGAGATTTCTTACTGTGGCGAAGAATATTTTTGGGTAATTGTTAAGAAAGAGAGAAGATGTTTTTGTAATCCTTTGGAAAAGGAAAGAATCTTAAATGTTGGGAGGGGGGGTGTTATTGAAAATGGGAGTTGGGTGTCATGTAACTGATAGGCTAGATTTAAGGGATGTTGCATTTCTTTTTTTTATGGTTTTGTATATAACTAGTAAATATAGATATACAAAGTAATTAATAAGGAACCTAAATAAAGGTGGTAAATAGATTTCTATTATAGTATAGCTAGGTAAAAATTCCAATATTTTTATGGCGGCTATACAATATCATTTTTTGTTTCAGGTTTTCATGGGCCCAATAGGCCCAGTAAATTTAGTAATCAGGGGGGGGG